GTTATGGCGTGGTAACGAAAAAGAAAATGGAAACTACTACATGGTAGTTTCCCAAGATAGGTGGACCCCAATATAGACCCCAAAATACTATAGTCCTTATTATTGGGACCCCAAAATGGTACCCCAAATTTTTGGAAACCCCCCGTTTAAGCCCTGTGAAGTTCATGCTTAAACCCAAAATCCTAAAACCCTGAACCCTATGAACCCCAAAGATCCCTATATAACCCTAATATATAGTTCCCTATAATCCCTATATAACCCTAATATACCCCCCTATAATCCCTATATAACCCTAATATAACCCCTATAAGCAGCTTTGGTGGTTTAAGCCCTGTGAAGTTCATGGCATCAAGCGTGCCTCCTCAAGGCTGGCTCTGGTTGCCACACGGGCCTGTGGTGCATGCGGTTTAGGATTTGGTGACCTAAACCCTAAACCCTAAACTTATTTTTTTAAGGGCTCTTTTTGACCTGGGGTTTAGGGTTTGGGGTTTAGAGTTTGGGGGTTAGTTCGGGTTTTTTTATGGGACCATTTCTCCAAGGCACGAGCCCCCAAAGATGAAATTCCGGCACGGTCCAGTCCAGTACAGCAGGCAAAAGACCACTCAAGCCCTCAAGCCTAGTTAGGGGTTTGGGGTTTAGGGTTTGGGGGTTAGGGGTTTAGGGTTTAGACTTTGGGGGTTTGGGGTTTGTGGGACGCTGCGTTCTTGGGAATGGCTGTCAACTATGGAGGTTTCCCATAATCCGCCGACCTTGGGGGGCGTGTTGGATGGTTGCCGAAGGCGGAGAGGGTGAAAACCCTCTTCCTTTCTCCCTTACAGCCCCAAAACGCGGGCGGGGGTAGGGGGGGTATCCCGGCTTCGTTTCCCACCTCCAAGCAGCCGTTTCAGCCGACACCCACGCCTTCGCCAGGCTCCCACCGAAAAAAACGCAATTTGAAAGGTTTTGTGGGGAAAAGGCCCCAGGCCCCTGGTGGGCCGGGCCCCAAGCCCTGGGGGCCCGGGCCCCAAGCCCCCTGGAGACCTGGCCCGGTTGACTTCCTGCAAGCCGAGTTTTTAACTTCTTGTTAACCCATGGGTCCGGGTCTCAAAACCCTAGGCTGCTACCATAACCCCCAATCCGCTGACCTTGGGGGGCGTTGGATGGTTTCCGAAGGCGGAGCTTTACAGTCCCATCGGAGGCGGGGTTCCCGTCTTCGCTCCAGCATTTCAGCCGCTGGGCCGGGCCCCAACCCCCGGGTAACCTGGCCAACAAGCCCCTGAGCCCTG